AGGTCTAAATGCCACTATGCACTCTGCGCAAGTGAAAAAATAAAACCCACCCATATCTGGTCTACAGACCCAGCACATGTCTGAATTCTGACCTGCTACCACAAACCGCTGTCACTTTAACTATAAACTGATACACAGTATAGCTGAGGGCACTCCCAAGCACTGACAAAAAGTCTTAAAATATGTATCTATATTTTTGTGGTAGTCACTCTTCTGTGTTCTCAAGTGTGAACACAGGAACCTTCCCAAAAAGCCAATGAAGGAAAAAAAAGAGAAAAGAAAAGAAAAAAAAAAAAAAGACTAAATTGACATGACCAATTCCCTGCTGCATACCTGGGCACTTCTCTACCACTATTTTATTTACACATCAAGACTAGATAAAACAGTTTATACTGCCGCCTTCAAAGTATCTTTGAGAATGACAGGAATGGCTCCAAGTCAACCTGCCCCATCTGCTGAGCATCTAGTTAGGATGATGAGCTAGACCAGCCAGCACAGGCTGCTGGGGAAAACTCTTGACACTGTACTCCTGAATGCTGACCACAGACTGTCAGACACAGCAAACAGCAGGCTGTTTACCGGTGACTTCTCACAGCTGAAAACAAGCTTATACAAACCAAAATGGAATTGAACTCCCAGATCACATGTTCATTTACCACTGTGAGAGAAACTGGCACATGACAGAAGAACGGTGTTTCTCCAATTCCTGTCTGCTAGTACCTGGCTCTGCATAGCCACTACAGCAGTCAGAAATTACCAGAAAACATGGAAAAGAGTCACATTCCCTTTCCCTAGGAAAATCCAGATGTTCACCCTGCCTCAAACACCAAGTTTCCTCTACACAGAGAGAAGGGAAATGGAGCTAGCAGATCCACATGGAAGATGCAACATGCTCACCCCTTTGCACTGGAAATGCTGCAACTAAAACAAACACTATTAAAAACCCTACCATGCCAAACACGCGCTGTCCGAATCTGAGAACTTCTGTACTCATCTTTGTATACTTCCATAATACAGGAAAAGCAATTTTGATAAAGAGGGCAGAAATGCACTAATTACACTTTCAATAAATACTGCACGCACAGAACAACAGGCAGCAATAGAAAAAAAAAACACTTTCAAAGATAATGCTTTGGAAACTGATGCAAAACCCAGGACAGTCTAGAAAACAAGTTCAGAGCACAAAGTATTATAAAAAGTAAATTATTTTTATAAAAGTACTTTCCAGTGTTAAGAGGAAACAGGGATGCTCTTGTGGAATGAACTCAGTGCTACTAAAAAATACACACTCTTAATGGTAAAGGTACTGCGTGTTTTACTTTAAATCAAATGGTCACTCTAGGTGTACGAAAAACTGAAAGCCTGCTTATCAAAACAAAAGCAAGAGGTTTACACACTGACAACAAACAGTTCATGTGTGCTGCTGCAGCATAATTAAGTAGCTGCTTGGGTTGACAAAAACAGCACACACCATCCAAATGAACTGACTGCCAGTAATTTTATTTTTTTTTTAATTTGAATATTTAATCTTGTGGCCCAGCTACCACTTCAATCTCTCATCACTGGCTAGGACTTAGGAATTTCCCTTTCCTTTCTGAGAATCTGATTTGAAGTAAGATATCAACTGTTCACACTTCAACACAATTACTTAAGACTTCCTTGGAAGGAACACTGTCTACCTAAGGAAATCCTTGTCTGGTTGAAGTGAGCAAATATTGGTGGAGCCAGCATCTAGGGTTCTCATACCTGGAAGGTTAGAAGTCTTGAGTTATGTACACATCCCTGAATTTGGCTGAACTCTGTGGACAGGCATTTCAAACAGTTTGTATGGGTTTGCCATTTGATGGGAAATATAAATATGATTGAATAAATAAAGACGAAATTGGTCAGATACCCCAAAATAGTATTTTAAACGTCCTTCTATGCAGACAGTTCTTCCATGTAAGACTTTATTCCAGCAATACACATCATTATATACACAATGAGTCAACAAAGAGTCTCAATTATTTTTCTCTACTCTTCCAATACCCAGAAGGAACTATACTGAAGTCTGCAAGACTCAGCATAGATACCAGAATTACTCATATAAAATAAATTTAAAAATGGAATCAGGGCCTAAGGACATTTACTTAGTCCAGAGAAGAACCAAAGGTCATCAGCAAAGTACCATCTGAAAAGAATGTTAAGCAAGCAGTTAGCTTAGTGTGTTTCTGGTTTCTTGCCTTAAACCAGTAACTGATTTATTACTGACAGGACATATATTTTTCTTGGTGTACTACAGTGAAAAGTAAAACAAGACAGCATTTAAAAAAAAACCACCAACAAACAAAACCAAAAACCAATCTCCAATATCCTATCCTAGAGCGTTTTAAAGAAAAGCAGAATATAAACTGTAACTCCCAATATACAGTTCTGAGGGTTAATTAATTCCAAGTATATGATACACACATCAATGCTAGCTAGAAAAACATTCAAGTGTTATCTATTTGACCTTATGTCCCTTCTTACCCCCACTACTTCCTTCCCAACAACTACTACTGTGCATTAACATTGCTTAAAAAGATGATAGTGAAGTTCTTATTCTGGTTGTCCTCTGTATTTTTTTTCTAGCTGGGAAAAAATAAGCCCATCATTCATCGTGCTGTTGCAACCCAAGTCTTGTATTGTCAGGTTTTTGTCTAACCAAGGAACAGAGAAGCCTACACATTTTGCTAGATCAACTCCATCAGGCCAATTAAACACCTTAAATGTTATGCCTGCAACTCAGAATTTAAAAACATTAGTCTTGTAACTTGCCTATAATTAATAAGCAACACAAGCAGTAACAATCAGATATTCCAGTTACTATAATTCAAAGAAGTCATTCCTTCCCTTCAGAAAAAATGTACGCGCTGCATAGGTCAGATGAAAGAATATCAAGTGACACCCACAAAGTAAATTCTACTCAAGGAGACATCAGAGCAAGATTAAGGTCATATGTGCATTGTACGAGTATCACAAACAGAACTACAGCAGTCCCAAAGATCAACCCACCCTTGCTGAGACCAAATACACCCAAAAGACCTACCAGACTCCTTACACCTGGTTAATATATGGCTGTAGAAATAAGTGATGATGTCTTCAGAAAAAACAGCTGCTGTCCACATGACATCAAAATGAGATTTGTGCGTGTATTATGTTAGAAAGATCCAGATTTCTCTCACTCTTCTGTCACTCAAGAAATAATAATAGTAACAACAATAACAAAAATAAGTCTTGCATTAACCTCTGGTTTACTGAAAAGAGAAATCAGGACAGGACAATTCACCTATAACCGATCCACTGGGACGGGGCAATCCCATGAAAAGCTGGCCAAGATGACCTGTTGAGGCGCCTTCCAACCCAGGCGATTCTATGATTCTAACTTACCTTCATCATGACAGTCTACATACACTAAGCTTACCTCCAACTACAGATGTCAAACGAGACAATGCCTACCTGCCCCCCTCTATTCTGGCTGGGGGTGGCATGGGCAACCCATAGCATCACAAGGATCCCGGCTGACTCACAGCAGGTAGGCTGGGCTCCCTAAGCATGCTCCAGAGACTTTTTTCAGGGACATACTCCGCAAGCTCCTCCAAGGAAGCACGCGCAATAGCACAGCTTCTCCTATAATAATGCTTTCGTTCTGCTCTTTTCTGAGGGTCATCTCATACACCAAAGAACATAATGACAAATAACTCTGGCTTCAGCACAGGCACTTCTACATCCATTCATGCTCCGTCCTGATGATTACCATCAGGTCCAGTAACCACCAGTTACAAGAACTGTTTGTTCTGATGAACAGCGTTAAGACCTGTTTGTTTTCCTGTCTCGCCTTCAGTTGAGAGCAGGCAGTGCTTTCAGAAAAGCACCGATACAACTGCCCGCAAGCACTGGCTGACCCCAATTTTCAGTCGGCTGAAAGTCATCTTCAAGCACTGTTGTTAACATGAAACATTAGAGGACACACTACCTCTCCAGAAGTGCTGCAAGAGGAAGCCATTACAGGTAGTCCCGTTTCTTGCTATTTCTGTATCACTTTAAAGTAGATAATGAGGAGAAAAACCCACAGCTATAGCACAATTGGAGATTTTATCGTTCTCTGTTGGAAATAGGCCCTCCAACTTGCCTGGACAAAAGCAGGCACCTGCCTGGAGCTCCCCATCCAGCAAGTCAGTTA